ACAAAGTGGTAACTGATGCAGTAAAATCTTGTACTACTCAGACTCACCCTTTCTCACCATTGGCTCCAATCTGTCACCAAGTCTCTTTTAAGATGCTAGCCAGCTACAATTTCTGCAAGTGGGTCTCGGTCCCACCAGCTACAGTCCCTACCATCACAGCTGGTTCCAAAGCCTTGTTGATAATCATCATCTCTCTTCTCCACTGCTGATTTTAAATTTCTCTCACCTTTGGCCAGCAGCTCGCAGATCTAGAGTTGTTTGCCCAGTAGAGTGACCCAGACCTTCTTATTTTAGATTTGGTTTACTCTGCCCTTATCAGTGCATAGCAGCTGCTGTAACTGTCCATTCACCATTATCACCTATCACAAAATAAACAAACAAACAAACAAAACCAAACAGGAGATGCATTGATCAAGTCCTTGGATATTTCTCCCTGCCTCCATTATATAGCAGTGACCCAGGCTCTTTATGTTAATAAGGGTAGATAAATCCTGCAAATATATTGACATGTTAATTCCCTTTGGCTTGATGATCCAGGAATGAGGAGCTGAGTCACTGGAATGAGGAGCCCCAAGTAACCAGGTAATAGTCAAATTCTGTGAAACTCTTTTACTTTGTCCTCTGGTGAAAGTGTTCTCCTTTTTGGAAGCCAGAACATGTAATCCAGAAGGGCCTAAAATTTTAGGGACAGAAGAAGTAAACTTTGGAAATGTTTCACTAGAAAGTATTGGGGAAAGGGACCCATTGTATTTCCATCCCTTGCTTCCCGAAGGGACATAGCACCACATGTCAGCCACTGATACAGCAAATGTATCGCATCCTTTCTCTAGCCTGGAACTTTAGCTGAGCCTTCAGCAGGCCACTCCACCATTGCATTAGGTCATCTGCTTCTGAGTGATGAGATATATGGTAATCCCTGGGGCTCCTGTGGTCATGCTCCCATGGTTTCACCACCTTTGTCAAAAATTAATCTCTTGAACAAAAGCAACATTGCAGGGAATGCCATACCAATGAATAAGGCATTCTGTAAGCCCTGATTTGATGGTACTGGTAGAGGCTTTGCAACAGAGAATGCAAATTCATGACCACAGTGGGTTTAAATTCCAGTAGGGGTGAATTGTTGCCATCTCCAGGGTGGAAGGGATCTAATGAAGTTAATCTAATAGTAAATGGCTGACTGGTCTCCTTGAGGGATGAAATTATATCAAGGACTCAGTTTCAGTCTCTATTGCTGACAAGTTGAGCACTCAGAAAAACAGTAGTGGCTGGATCAGTATTAGTAGTGGGAGCCCATTCTGTTGTGGCCATAAACAGCCTTATTTCCAGACATGGTGTAATGTTTGTTCATGGACCAATTGTCCAAACAGTGAAGTCTCTAAAGTTTAAGGGGGAGCATAGCTCATATCCACAGGACAAATTAACCTATTTAATTGTTGTCTTTTATTCAGAGAATGCTTTCTGGTGGGCATTAACATGAGACACAATGATCTGCGTGCTATGTGCCCACTCCTCCCATAAATCTATCTGCAACCTCTTTATCCAGATTTCCTTGTCTCTGGTTTATTGATCTTGCTTTATCATGGTCACTGATCACATTCCCAAGCCATTTGTCACTATCCAGTAGTCTACGTATATCTATACCTCAGGCCACTTCCACCTCCACATAAAGTAACTGATGAAGTGTTCTGCTTGGGCTCTTCCTACTGGGAGGATTTCCCTTCACCATATTCTTTTAGGGCTACCTCTGAGTGAGGCAGTATTGTGATAACAGTCTATTTATGGCTGCCATCAATATGCCACCTTAACCTACACATGAACAAGGCCAGAGTATTTTTCTCTTTCATGCTTTGCCACAGGTATTTCTAGTCATCATCGGATCTGCTGGGCCCAGGCTTCCAACAAGCTTGTACCACAGCTTGCACATACAACAGAGCATATTGCTCTGGGTAACATTCAAGTCCAATAAATGGGTTGGTGCAGTATTCTCCAACACAATATATGCTGTCTCTAAAATATAAATAAGCCTACCTAGCACTATGCCTCTTTCCTAGAGGTAGGTTCTGATATGCACCAGTTTATTCCTTACCTTTATCTTTTTGGTCTCAGCATGTCCCAAACAGTAGGTCAGCTAAAACTTCACCAATGTGGCAGAACCATAAAGTTTTGTGAGGTTTATCTTCCACCCTCTGGTTTGAATGTGCCTAGCTGGGATAACCTAGAATAGTTTCCACTTCCTGTTCTCCAAATACAATCAGAATGATGCAATCAGTATAGTAAACCATAATGACATTCTGTGAAATGTCTAGACAAATTTTCTACAGATTACATTCTGATAGAGTACATAAGAGTTAGTTCAGCCAATGGGGGAAACAGTGAATTGAACTGTTGTCCTTCCCAGGTGCATGCCAACTGCTTTCATGCTTTTTCTGAAGAGAATTTATTTTTTAAATGTTTATTTATTTTTGAGACAGAGAGAGGGAGCAGAGCCTGAGTGGGGGAGGGGAAGAGAGAGAGGGAGACACAGAATCCAAAGCCAACTCCAGGCTCCAGGCTCCAAGCTGTCAGCACAGCTGACAGAACCTGACGCGGGGCTCGAAACTATAAACTGCAAGATCATGACCTGAGCCGAAGTCAGACGCCCAACCAACTGAGCCACCCAGGCGCCCCTAAAGAGAATTTAAAAGACCATATTTTCTAGGTAAGTAGTGGCATATCAAGTGCTGGGAATTCTGTTGATCTCTTCCAATTAAACAACTATATCTGACATAGCCGCTGTAATTGGTGCTGGTACTTGCTAAGTTTACCATAGTCCATTGTTATCTGAGATCCATCTTCTGTAGGAGCCAAATAGATTGAAGAGGGTTATGCAGGGTTTACTACCCCTGTATCCTTTAAATCCTTAAATGGTGGTGCTAATCCCTGCCATTTCTCCCAGGAAGCAGTATCGTTTTGGATTTGCTCATGTGGGTGGGAGTGGGACATTTTCAGGGGCTTCCACTTGGTTCTTCCTACCATAATGGATCCACAGATCAGGGAACCACTACAAGGGTTCTTCCAGTTATGAAGTATACTTGGAGATTTTATATATCCCAATTATCCATTTGGGGCCTGAGGATACAATCACAGGGAAGGCCACAGACCCACTGTACCCTTGTGAAACATACTTGGGCTAGACCTATAATTTTTATCTGGCTCCCCTATACCTCTACTCTAACTGGAAGACCATTACACATTTCACGTTCCCTGGCACCAGTGTCAGTTCATACTCCTTACCCAATAGTCCTTGAAAAGCTTAAGAATCCTTCTTTCACAATTTGTGTAAAAAGAGGATCCTGACCTCTATCTATTCCAACCCTCTCCAAATACAGAGACAACTATGAATTAGTTAAGAGATTTCAGTTTGAAACTATATTGACTAGTTTTAATATCTAGAAATTGTTATAAAGTTATGGAATCTAAAATTTGTCTAAGTCAGTAAGAAAAGGGATAGGAATTGAGGTATCAGCACAACACTATTTAAAAAAAAAAAAGCGATCAGTAATAATAAAATAACTTCATGTTTATACTCCAAAAAGTTGAGTTGTCTCAGAGAACGGGTTATAGTCAAACCTGTTGGGTGATTTTCTTGAGCTATATTAAATGGTTTCAGAGCAGGTGTTTCAATGGATAGGCATGCTGTAAGGGCTCTGGGCAAAAAAAGTTGAAAGTATTTGCAAAAGGCCTTTGGAAGGATGATAGAATGGAAGCTGTATAAAAAAGGAAGTGAAAACAAATCTTGAATTCTGGTTAGGCATTAATACTTTGAGCGAGTCTTTTAACCTCTCTGCTTCAATTTTCTCATCTATTAAACGAGGACAACAACTTCATAGTGCCCTTGTGCATGTTTTTAAGTGGATTCCTTCACACTGAATACCACCTCTCTTCTTTTCATCAGCCCCTGCTACCTTCTACTTACCCCTTTGGTGTTCTAGGTTTCAATTTAAACTCAATTTCCTCTAGAAAGCCTTCTTTAACCCCCCAGGGGGTGAGGGGACCTTTAATATCTTCCAACCACACCCTACTTCTATCATTGTTGTTGCCATACAGAATTGCATTGATTGATCGCTTGTCTATCAGCTCCATTAGACCAAAGACTCTGTTAAGGCAGGGACTATGACCATTTGTTCATTTAGTACATATTACAAACAAAAATATAAGCTAAATTGAATTGACTTGGAGAGTATAAGGATTAAATGAAATAATGCCTGTTAAACTCCTTTCAACCTACATGTTCAATAAATAGTAGCTTTAAAAAATATTATTATTCAAATCTTTATCTGAGGGCACAGCTTCCAGCATGTATACATTGTATCACAATAAACACCTGCTGAATGAAAAGTTTAGACTGGTGATAATGATATCCTTAACCTATGTCTGCTGGTGGTAATCCTTTCAACTGTTGATTTAACTTTCAAGATCCCAAATGCTGTCCTCTGAAACTCCAACTTGTGAGTGTACGTGTGTGTGTTTTAGAGTAAGAACTAGGGAAAAAAATTAAAAATCCTAGAAAGTAATTGTAAGATGGCACTACAGAGTGGGACTAAGGGAGGGGCAGAGGGACACCACAGAGATGCTCTGAGACCGATAGCGGGTTGGGGCGTGTATGTGTATTTTCAATTTCTTGCCCACTAGATGGTGGAACAGAGCCCCTAACCTGATAACACAATGCTTTCTTCCAGACCTGACCTGAGTTTCTCTCACAATGCCCACTCATTAGTTTGCACGTGGAGGAATCCAATAAATTATTATTTTTTTCAAAATTTCCGCTTGGAAAGTAGAGACGAATCCACAAAGACGGGAAGGCTGGGAAGAAAAGAGTCGAGATGCGGAAATGCAAGGACTAGAAAGTTGAACTACACTTCCCAGAAAACCACGGGCTGAGCCTACAACACCCAGCGTGCCCATGTTCCGGATCACGTGACCCGCTCGTGCAATCCACTTTTCCAAGGAGCGCAGCAAAGCTGTGGAGTCTGTGTTGGTGCGGCAGCGACGGCTCTAACCCTCGGGATTACTTTGAGCCGCAGCAGTTCCTACCTTCGCTTGTAGAGCAAAAAAGACACCACTATCCCATGGGGCACACAAGCCACGTGACCAGCTCGGGTCATGTGACTCCAGAGTCAGGCGGCTGATGTGTGTTACCCTGGTAACTGTTGGGCCCTGCAGACCTTCCGGGAAAGCGCGGAATTCAGACTCAGAGGTAGGTGAGGCCTAGACACTTGTTTCCCACTCGGTTGACACAGACCGAGACTGTCTTCAGACCCTCCCCCCAGGGCTTTAGTTTCCCGGGTCACTCCCCTCCTCCGCCCACACTCTACTTCATGTGCGGCTTCGTCTTCTCGCCACTCTGGAACCCGTGCTTCCTGGAGCCAGGGCACCATTGACCTGAGCCCTTTTGGTGGGACCCTCCTCCGACCTAGATCTTGGTTGGGGCTAAGACCTTAACCGCATCCTCAGCTGATCAGAAATGCTAATGAGGCAGGGAGGTGTTATTCCGCAGACTGGGCAAAATATTGTCCAGGGTGTTCACACACAGAGCTCCCCTCCACCGCTTCTGGAAAATGAAGCTGCGGTTTGAGCACCCTCAAGGAGATACAGCCCTGAAACTGGGACGGATCTGAAAGTTGTTTGGGTTCAGTTGAGGGACGGAGAGAGCTTTGCGGTGCAAGTCACTCTTGCATAGTTTTGTTGGCTCTCCCTCGCTCCAAAAGAAACAGAATCCGTTCTGATTTGTATACTTCAGTAACTTTATTTTAGTAGATTTAAATCTTAATGAATTGCATTTTGTCTGTAGCTGGATACAGTCTATCTTGCGAAACTATTAACATGGACTGATAATTAGCTGAATGACAAGGCAGCACATACTGCCCTGTGCTTTGCAAAAAAGAAGCTGTATTTTGAATTTGTTCATTTATACTAAATTTTTGAAAGATTCTTTGAGAGGACGTGCTTTGTTTCCGGAATGTTGTATAACACACACACCGTAGAGTTAGGAAATATTGTGGCCACCCTTTAACAATTGGATGTTAAAAATGAAAATGTTAATTCTGGATCCTGAATATAAAGCAAACTGTGAAAGCCGCTTTTCCAAAGCAGATTTATTCATGAATTTGGAATCTCTTGTCCAGGTTATTGGTCAGTAACTGCATATATGCTAAGTTGTAAGAGGAATGTCTGAGGTTTAAGTCTGGTTCTTCTTATGATGTGGTGTGAATTTCCTCAAAGGATATTTATCTCTTGTTATTTAGTGTTTCCAGTGTAAATACTTGGGAATGTTTACTGAGAGAAGTGAAAATTCTTGATTATGGCTCACTATTCCAGAGCAGAGCTGGATGAAGAGTTTGAGCAGTTCATGAAAGAGGTAAGTTTATTATTTTAAAAACTGTACTATAAATATGTGTCACAAGAAATCCATCCTTCACTTCTTTCTCCTCTACTATGCAGTAAGTTTGACAGCCTTGAAAATAAAACGGCCAAGTTATTTTACCAGCAAAATGGGTTTATTTTTTAATGGCAGAAAAATTGCATTTTAGACCGTGCAGGCTGTGGCATAACTATAGGCAAGTCCTGTGATGGAAGGAGAGGAACAATTACTTTATGGAGAAAAGGAGGAGAAAGGGTGGGAGGGGCTGCTTTGAATGAAAGTCCATTGGAGGAAAGAGGTGGTCACAGTATTTTCTTATCGGCTGAACTAATTGCTAGGCCTAGAAAAATTCATTCTTCCCTAGAAAAAGGCAAGGTACCTTTCTTCCTGTTAGGGTCTGAAATTGATGAGTAAATAGGCCATGGGAGCTCCCCCTTCTGGCCTCCTGACTTTTTAAAATGTCGTTTCCTTTATTTAGTTTCATATTTCTCCCATTTGATCCAGATCTTTCCTCAAAAGCATCACTGACCTAGAAATAGGTCATCTCTGGCTCTCTGTGCCAGGAACGACCTTTCCTGAGTGTCATGTCCCATGTCAGAGAGAAAGTGTATGGCAGTTAGAACCCATTTAAGACCATATTTGAGTAACCAGCTTAGGAAGGAAAATTCTCAGGCATTTCCCATCCAAAGTCTATATCTTGTTGAGGTCATACATGTTGGAGATCATCTTGAAGTGTTGATTTAGCATCACCTTATTGGGTACATGGTTTCTACAAAAGTTTGACGAGCAACAGGTGCTGAACTTAAAAATTATTATACAAAGCATAACTAAAAGCAACATGACAATTCCAAATTGTACGATGGTTCTGAATGATGACCCTAGGCCTGAAGGTAGCCAACTGAATGAAAGATCTTTGAAAATCATGTGAAATTTGTTGTAGTTATGTGCTTATTCCCTAATTTTGTGCAGTTGGGTTTCTACTTTTCCAAGGAGTTTATCCATGTGCCCTAAGTGGTGTCTTTCACACATAAACATCCTTACTCAGCAGGTAGGTAATGCAGAGCTATGCGATTCTCTAAAACTACTGTAGCCAATGAGTCGAATGATCATTGTTGGGCTGCTTCTGCTTTGGCTATAGAACTGACCAGCTCTCGGGGCACCTGGATGGCTCAGTTGGCTAAGTGTCTGACTTGGGCTCAGGTCATGATCTCATGGTTCTTGGGTTCAAGCCCTGCATTGGGCTCTGTGCTGACAGCTAGCTCAGAGCCTGGAGCCTGCTTCTGAATTCTGTGTCTCCCTCTGTCTCTGACCCTCCC